CTGCCAGGAAGAGTAGGAGATGACAGAAAATAAAGCCCAAATAATTGCATGCCCCTTCAAATAAAGTTGCTGAGCAAAAGAATAACTTTAAAAGACAGTAGACGGATTGCACAAAACGTCAGATCCATCTTATCCGCAATTTGGTAACTTTGATGGGTTTAAGAACAACAACCTTGTATAAAGCGTAAGTGTAGACAGAACTACTTATATGCTCTTTGTAGAGTCAATCTTGTAGATAAGCTTTCTGATGGTTTTTATGAACTCGAAAAAGGATAAAAATTAAAGCAAACATATAACTAGGTGTCGCATTAATGTAAAAAAAAATACCATGTACTGGTTGGTAAATGGCGTTATTAAGCAGGCAGAATAATAACGTGTCACTTCTGACAATGAAACCAACATCGCAAAAGAAGAAGACAATAAACAAATTAAATTTAATTACGGTGGAAAAAACCCACTTTTGTTTCCCACCACTGCTAATGTATTTTGGTAGACCGACCAGTCACGGCGAGGGGGAAGCGAGCGGGCGCGGTTTGAGCCGGAACACGCGTGACTGCTCGCCCCGCAACCGCGCTCCCCTCTCGCCTGCGCGCCCCTACCTGTGTGGGTGCGCAGAGATTTAAGCGGCTAAGAGATCCCATCCCCTCCCCCCCGCCCCCCCAACTGCAGTGGCAGTGTTTTTCAACTTCAGCGAACGCAGTTACTTTTTTTTTTTCGCTCTCGACTCAAGAAGATTAATTAAAAGGTCTGTGGAAAACTTTGCCGTGTAATGGGGAGCGAGGGAGGAGGAAGGGGCAGGAGGAGACGAGTATCACTTCATAACTTTCCAATCGCCTCCCGAGCCCGCTACACTGACAGGGTTTTCCACGCAGGTCGTGTAGGAAGTTTCCCCCGGCGATGTGCGCCGTGGCCGGCGGTGCGTCCCGGCGGTGCCTGACGGAGCCGGGGCTCCGCAGCTCCTCTCCGGCGGGGGGCAGCGGCAGCCCCGCTCCGCTCCGGCGGCACCCGGCTCCGCCAGCCCCGCGCAGCGCGGCCGGCTCTTTCTCCCAGAGAAAAAGTGGGAAGGCGAGCGGCATGAGGGAAAAGAAAACCATAAAATGTATCACTTGTAACCCTAGAATATGTTAATGTCAAGAGATACAAATCTGGTAATTATGCCTTTCTTGCCTGTTGTGTTCTCCATTGTTCATTAAACATTAAAGACGGGATTATTTAATTTTCCACTTAAAGATTCTCTCACGTTCCGCAAAATCATATTAATTTTCAATCATCTTAATTTTACAAAGGACAAAGTTTTGGGTTTATAACCCTGCCAATGAGCTGCCTTTTTTTTTTTTTTTTTTCTTTCCCCTCACATCGCACTTTTAAAACGTTCTTCTAGAAACCGTCTGCTGCTGAGGGAACTACCAGGCACCGAGCAATAGAAAACGCCGAAGTTTTG